AATCTGTATGTAAGTGGAACTGGTGTCCAGATTCAGCCGCTGTTGAAACTGATCAGTTTCAGCAGCAGCTGAATCTGGATGCCAGTTCCGACTTACATACAGATTCAACTTAAGAACAAACCTACAGTCCCTATCTTGTACGTAACCCGGGGACTGCCTGTAATAGATATGTAGCCATGTTAGTCTGGTCTAGCTGAATCAAAAAACAGGACTATGTAGCATTTTAAAGACTAACAAGATGGTTTATTAGGTGGTGAGCTTTTGTGGGCCAGACCCACTTCTTCAGATCATATTGTGGAAGAAAATTGGCACGACCATATATCCCAAAGGATACAATCAAAAAAATGAACACATATGAAAAGGACAAATCAAATTTCAGAACAGAAGAGGAATGAGGGGGGGAGGTAAATGTCTGTGAGCTAATGATATTAGAGGTGATAATTGGGGAAGCTATCTTTCTAATGGGTAATGTAATTACTCTGAACTGTCATTCATGCTTAAATTTGACACTTTACACCTATGTCTTAACAAGGACGCTAATTACCTTACCCATTACAAAGATAGCTTCCCCAATTATCACCTCTAATATCATTAGCTCACAGACATTTACCTCCCCCCCTCATTCCTCTTCTGTTCTGAAATTTGATTTGTCCTTTTCATGTGTGTTCATTTTTTTTGATTGTATCCTTTGGTATGTATGGTCGTACCAATTTTCTTCCACAATTTGATCTGAGGAAGTGGGTCTGGTCCACGAAAGCTCATCACCTAATAAACCATCTTGTTAGTCTTTAAAATGCTACATAGTCCTGTCTTTTGTTTCAGGACTAGAAGAGAATGCAAGAGGTCATCTAGTCTAGTCTCCTGCATTCATGACAGTGCTAAGTATTATCTAGGTCAGGGCTGGGCAAAATACGTCCCAGGGGCTCAATCCAGCCTGCCAAACCACTGGGTCCGACCCACGGACCACCCTGCTGGGACCCTCAGGCACACAGCTGCTGTGGTTTAAAGTGTAGTCCGTGCAGCTCTCTGCTCTACAGGCAAGGGAATGGCTTTGTGTGATCTCCCTGCCCCCAACCCAATCCTCAGCTCCTATATTAGCTGGACACAAGAAGCTAATAGGAGCTGAGAGATTGGCCTCTGGGATGATGGCAATGCAAGCCCTTTCTCTCTCTTCTCCCCCCACCCCTGAGAGCCACAGGGTGGGAACAGTCTGCAGTTTCAAGTGGTCTGGGGCTGCAACAGGCAGAGAGTACAACCTGCCTTGGGGGTGCTGAAGGGCTACTGGAGTTTCCATCCCCTTCTAGAGCCTCTCCCCCAGGCTAAATCCTCTCTTGTGCCCATATCCCTCCCTGACCCTACACCCCAATCCTCTGACCCAGGTCACAACCCCCCCTCCTTCACCCAAACTCCCTCTGACCTAACACCATCTCCTGCACCCCAGTCCCTTAGCTTGTGTGCCCTTCTGCACCCAACCTCTATCCTAGCCCCCGCATCTCCACAGAAAAGTGTGGCCCTTGACACTTTCCAAAATCTTGGAGTGGCTTCCCACCAAAAGTTATTGCACATCCCTGATCTAGACCATCCCTGAAAGGTGTTTGTCTAAGCTGCTGTTAAAGAAGCCCTTAAAGAAGACACAGGACAGATTACTGAACCCTTCCTAAATAGCATGTATGTATATATTGCACATAAAATTACTTTGTCTGGGAAAATTGATAATGGAGACAGTAAGTAGTCCAGAAATACTTACGCCTTTCTTAATCAAGAACGCTCCAAGTATCCTTTAAATGTGCAGTCCAGGGACTTAATCAAAGCTAATTCTTGTATAAAAGAGAACAGGAAAAAAATTAATGTAATAAAACTCTCTAGCTTTGTTTTCTTTAAGGGCTCTTTGCCCACTCCCTGAGAAACAAAGCCGTAGTGGTTTCTTCTGACCTTGTTCTATTCATGGTTGGATCATTAAAATCAGGCAAAAGAAACCTCAATCTTTGACTTAAAACAGAGGTTCTCAAACTTTTTCTTTCTGAATCTTTCCCCCCCCCCCCCCCCCCTCTGTACCACAACTGTTTTTTTTTTTTTCTGTGCATATGACAGGCAGGGAGGGCTGTTAGGGGGAGCAGGCAATTGCCTGGGGTTCCATATCTTTCTGGGTGGCTATGTGGTAAATTTTTCAAGCTTCAGTCCCAATGTGGCAGGGCTCAGGGCCCTGGGCTTCATCCCCACCTGGTGAGGTTTTGGCTTTTTGCCCTGGGCCCCAACAAATCTAACACTGCCCTTCTTGGCAGATCCCCTGAAAACTGCTTGCAGCTCCTTCAGGTGAACCCAGACCCCTGGTTAAGAACCACTAACTTAAATGATCAGCTACACAGCCCAACTATTATCTTTTGAATTCTACAACAACTAGCTTGTGAGCAATCCATATTTTGAAACATGTTTGCCCAATATATTTGAGCAGTTCTGCATAAATTAGTAAAAATCCTCTTCAGATTGATCAGGAAAAGGATAAATTATTTGTGACAAATAACTTGACTTACTATGAATCTCTCACAGGATGATATTCCTCTGCTTCAGTGTTCTTCATTGTGCATGTTACTTACTCTGATATTAAACTTGAATTTGCTACAGATTTTAGGGTATTGTTGAGAAAGACAAGTCCTCTTCAGAGTTAAGGCCGTCATACCATGGTATTCGTGAGAGCCCTGAACGAAACGGAGAACACTCTGGCCTACTGGCCTACTTCAGCTGGTATGTTTGAAATTGCCATCAGCCATATCACTGGTATTAGATGGAATAAAGCTTTAATTTAGCTGGACTTTTTCTATCAAGCAAGATTTACAAAGAAATGGCTCTTTTGAAGGCTTTGTTTGAAATTACAACTTAGTTTCCTTTGTTGAAGACACTATGAAGTTTTGTTCTGGATATATTTGCAGAGGATATTCTGAATCTATCAAATGAAATGATTGAGAGTGAGCTTAGATATGGTTCTGGATTTTGATTCACATTCTTGGATGTTGTGATTCTTACAGAGCTTAAAATGTTGGATGAAATAGAAAACCAATGGAAAAAAGACATTATATAATACATATCGCTATCTCAATTTCTAACAACTTTCCTCGGGTCCCAAAGAACTAATTGTGCAAAACGCTCATGGAAAAAAAAAGATACATTGTCATAACTTTGCCTTTCTTCAACAAAATACATCTCCATGGCACTAGCTACAATCTTGAAAGTGGAAAGAGAAAGGACTTCATATATATATATATATATAGGACTTGGAGTAAAATCATTTTAATTAATAATTTGTACTAAACCTGGTATTAAAATGAAATACTGTCAAAATATATGTATGCTACATTTTTTGTTAGTGATTATGTGCTACAAAGACCTTTGGGGAATAATCACTTGGTTAATTCAGAACTGGTGATGTATGTCTCATGACTATTTGTCTGCTTACCTGTATGTGCAGTACTGTACACCAAAGAGAAGAGTGATTTGAATAATACACTAAATTGAAATTTCAATATGCTGCCTCAAATGAAATCTTTCACTTACATTATCCATCTTGTGAAGAGCACCAAATTTAAGTTAACATTTTATTAAAATACATGTTTTATTGTCTATAACCAGGAAGCTGAAAGCTACTCCCGTGACTGGAAAACTAGAAAGAGTAATAAATAGTGTTACATAAACAGCTTCTAAATAAGGAATTGCTATGCGCATAAACTAAGAGATGGGTTCTCCCTTTAGGGAGAAGAAAATCAAGATGAAAAGAGAACTGTACTGCAAACCATTTTGTAAAAAGAGGTGTAGAAGATTTGATGCACTGTAGATATATTTATGTGAAAGGTAGTTATGAAATGCTGAATTTGTAATGAATTCTTGAAAAGATCATTCCTAATCACATGGCTTTTGATTCATCCAAAGTGACTGTTGGATGATAGTTATCAGCCAGAATTCCAAAACTGTCCTCCCAAATAGTTCTTATTTCCAGCAGCCTTGTCAATCATGGGGCTTGAGAGATTACAAGCAGGCAAAGCAATAGTAAAAAACAGCTTAAGTCCTGTTTCCTTTACCATTTGTCTGGAAGGTGACATTCCCTGTAGCTATTACCTTGGTAAGACATGTCTCCAGAATTAAAGCCCTCACCCTCATACACAGTATTCTACAAGAACAATCTCCAGCTGCAGCCCCATCCAACCTTCCTACCAAAGATGCTTCCATATCAACTAAGATATCTTCCTTCTCGTGTGCTGTCAAGTCTCATACAACTAATGAAGAGAGGTTGACATCTATGCTCCAGGTGTCAGGTACACTCTGGCTTTCTACTTGGAGTGTTCCAAACCCTTCTGCAGATTGACCCCACTTTTTTTTCTCGATAGCTGACATGATGGACTGTCTGGTGTCCTCTCAGGATTTCAAATTGGATCACCACCTGCATCCATACGTGTTACTAGTTGGCATAGGCTGTTCCTTCACCAATAGCAAAGTCTCATTTGACTAGGGTCAGGTGTCTTTGGCTGCCTTTGTGACATGTGTCCATCCAGGACCTCTCCAGGGCCAAAACGTGGTCTTTGGTACACATGTTCATGATGCATTGAACCACCACCTGACAAGCCAAAGATAGATGCTAGATCTGGCAGAGCTGGGTTGCAGTCGTGGCATTCATGAATGTCTACTCGCCTTCGATGGTACTGCTAGGGAGTCATCTACAATGGAATGGACGCAAGCATCCTTGCATAACTATTCTTGGAGATGTGTTGCTTATATGCATTCCATAGCCCACCCTCCATCCCCTCCATCAGAGTTCTGGCAAGAAGGAACTGAGGGAGGGGGAGTTGGCAGTGCCTTTTATACTGGCACATATGCATGCCACTCCAGAGGTGCCAAAGCTGGTCTCCTATGGATACCATTGTGGGAAAAAACAGTTCTGTGCATACAGCAAGCATATACATCTGCAATGGAATGGAGATGAGCAATTCATCTAAAAAAAGACAGTTGTTTTGTAACTTGTTTTCCTAAAGGCTAGCTTAGGTAACTCCCCACTCTGTGGGCTTCTGTGGATCCTGTTCTTAAATGATTGATTCTCCTAATGCTTTGTATAGGGAGCTTGGGTGCCCAATACAGGAAGCCTCTTTCTGGATTTAGCCCTGTGTTTTCTATTATCTTCTCCTGTTCTGCCTGTGTTTCAATCCCTTTTGCTGCTCTTCCTCTTCTCAGCCACTCTGGTTCCTGCTTGAGTTGATTCCACTATCTTCGTTGCTCAGCAACCAAGAATCAGCTCCTCTATCACTCTTTCACCTATGTCAGTCCCTTGCACAGCAGAGGCGCTCTCCTTGTGTGCATTAACTGGGAAGTAAATTATCAAACGCAAATGGAATAGGTCATTTCAAAGGTTCTATGGAGCTGCAGGCAGCTGACTTGACTGGGACATAAGGGCAGATGTGTTTGACTCAACTATCAGGGTTTTCCATCAGCCTTCAATGCCTTTCGTTTTCTGCTTCAAAAAACAAAATCTGTATCCCAGGCCATCTTGAAACTTAAAACATTGCCTCACTGCACAGATATCAACACAAGTGGGGGGGAACCCAAAATGAATAGCTCACAATCAGGTAGTACCTCTTGTTTTCAATGGCATTCTGAATAACCATGCACACACTCAATCTTTCCTGGTACAGTGCCAGTTGTGAAGAGAGTAAGTGAATTTTCCAAGTCAGAGACTGTCAATTTCTTTTAAAATATAAAAGATTCCAACTCTGGTATTTAGGTAACTTTTTCTTCTTTGAGAGATGTTCTTATGGGTGCTCCACAGCAGGTGTCTGTGCGTCCCAGTGCCGCAGACCAGATTCTTCAGAGCAGTGCCTGGGGGAGGGGGCCATGCATGCAAGCAGAGCACGTGAGCACTACGCAGTGCAGCTGCTCATGCACAGCCACCCTCCCCTCAGTTCCTTCTTGCTGTCCCCAGCTTAAGATGGAGTTCTGCAGTGCTCTTCGCTCAGCATTGTTCTCTGTAAATAAGTAGTTCATTTTCGTCAGTTCTCGTTGTTCTTCCCTTCATTGATCTCATCCAAGTTTGCCTTCTACGAAAAAAACCCAAAACCTTCAAAAAGAACCTGTTATCCAAGTTGTTTTTTCCCCTGTTGTTCCACTTTTACCCTGGTTGGACAGAAATGCCTGGATCACTGGGATGTAAAAGGTGCTCTGCCTATAAGGATGCAATGTCCATCTGACACACACTCGAAGTGTGTTAAATGTTTAGGCGAGAGTCATGTGCAGCAGGATTGCTACCACTGTGCCAAGCTTAAGGCGTGTACGTGCAGGGATAGATAACATTGCATTAAGATGCTAATGCCATTCTGCCTCTGACTTGGGCACCCAACAGCCTGAAAACCAGTAATCTGACAAGGGGAAAAAAATCCCCAACAAAACACACCTCCTCTCTCTCTCTCTCTCTCTCTCTCATAAATCTCTGTTGCATAAGTGGCATGTAACTGGGAAATTGGCACCAAGAGTTGAGGCTGCACCATACCTCAGCACATATGATGCGCCAGGTGTGTCTGGTGCCCAGCACAGTATCATGAAACAAAGTATGCAAAAACCATGCACTGAGGCTACAGGCCAGAACATGTCTGCCTTGAGAAGTTCAGGGCCCCTCGTGGCACTGGAGAAACAAATGGCGGAACCATTGGCACAGAGATTATATCACTCAGCACTGTAATCTCCAATGGCGCCAGACTCTGTACCGTCAATGCAGTTGCCAGTGCCACAACTATATCGGCACCGCAACAATCATCGTTGCCAACGGACATGCAGCCAACATCGGTGCCGTTTACTGCACCGTCTACACTGGCACCAAGGTATCTCCATTACAAGGACCTGGCCGTCTCCTCCCCCTTTAACTCCCCATTCCTCAGCATCAATATATCGCCAGCCACAGCAGCACCAAGGCACATAGCCCAAGCTACTATCCAGCAACGAATAGAACAACAGGAGTTATCTCTCTCTCTCTCCTCAACTGTTGCCTAGCACTAAGGTCTTGGTACCGTCCTCACACGCCACCTTCAGACACTCACTGTGGATTGCAATCACCCCCCACCCTACTCTCATCTGGGGACCACACCCCTGGATTCCACCGCCCATGCCATATGGCGCACAGTGGCAGTAATGGAGTTTATGGGCAGAAACGCATCAAGAACACAGACAAGCAGCCTGCATTCTCCCCTCCAGCCCAGTCTCTATCTCCACAGAGGCTTCCCAAGGATGCACCAGATCAGCAAACCCATGAATCAGGACCAAATAAGTTTCCTTACACCAACTCATCATCCTCTCCAGATGCAGCAGTACTGCTATTATTTCCAACAGTGTCACAGAGCAGGTCTTTTTGACCATGGCCTCGCGTGCGCACATTGCCCATTCTGCCACACAAAAGCCCCTCACAGAAAATGTAGGCTGCTGACACTCTGAGAGAGCATAACTTGTAAGTGCACAATGCAGCTTTTTGTGAACGGAATTTAACCTTGTAGGCATCTAAGAACAGGGAGGTGAGCATGAAAAGATAGAACACAGCTGCAAGAGATAAATAAGACTCTCTTGACCAGTCCTTGAAGGTAGGCATAGGGAGATAAGACGCAACTGCCATGCACACTGACCATGCCCGCACCTGGCACTGTCCACAGGGCCATCAAGCGGGCATCATGAAAAATCCTATATGGCAATATTGCACATTACCTCATTACCAGCTCATCGGGCCCGGCCAGGGAACAGACCCTAATAAGATACCGGATATCAAGTTATGTTATAAAAGACCCTCGACCCCTTTGTTCATGGAGGTTCCGTGTATTGAGGGCATGTGTCATTTTACCCAGCTGAAGGATTGATCACCCAGAGGCTGCCTTCGAATCAAAGATAGGGGTGCGCGAGTTCTGAGCATGCTCCGAGTTCTAGTGTGTCTTTACTCTATTATTGTTGCTGGATTTGTAAGTATTGCTTAAATATATTATTATTGATTTAGTTAATAGTTGAATTGTGTTAATTTCACTGTGTAATTCTGTAGTGTAATTGAGTTCTATTAACCTCACTCTGTAAATTGTATAATCTTGTGTCGTGGTGTTGTATTTAGGCCAAGTATAAGTGTTAGAAATAGAAATAGAAA